TAGCACATCATACTGAAGTACTAAGCTCATAATCACCAATTCATTTCAAACCATATAACTCATACTCAGCATCCAATGTAATATTACACGTCATCTCACAAAACAATATCTTTGTAGAAACACATAATGGGTACCCAGCAGATATGCCAATACAGAAATCACATTTATGGGCACACAACTACACACTCTGTCTCCCTCCTAGGAAACACGGATACACACAATATAAAAGCAATCTTAAACTAACACCTCCAAATCTCCAACTATTCTTGGCCAAAACGCTAGTATTCAACAACTAATAAAACAGTTATTTGCTAGGTTATTTGGCTGTCATTCTTATCAGTATCACTAGACTGTGACAAACTGATTCACATATAATTTAAAACAATACAGCAACATAAATTAAACCACTTTCAAGTTAAACTGCACACTTCACACATTATCACAATCACCATTTACACAAAATAAAGAGTTAACAGCTGTATTCAGAACATATTATTGGAAAGTATACCAATTTTAGTTTAGATTTATTTTAGGGATTCTTATGTATACATTTTCTTAATTAACTTCATTACTTTAATCTACTATAGTATTGTATTTAAAGAAAGGATCCATTTATATAGCGCGCTCATAACTCAACTATTTGTATAAAACTACCATTAACTAATCTGAGATGATGCTGCATCAACTTAAATCCTATAGAAATTGAACGAACATCTGGACCAGATTAAACAGACATGGTTTCACCTGAATCTTTCAGAACTCTCAGAGACTTAAAAATTTATACTATACCATGTTTTAAAGGCATGGCAAACCTTTAGACCGGTCAGTCTCCAAGAGCCCTTTGTAATACAGGTAAAAACCTTTTGTCCATGATGTCTGATTCAGGCTATATACCACAATTTAAAAGAACACATAATGTGAGACATAGAAGACACAAGCAGTAGTTATTACACTGGATCATTTAAAAGGAACCTGTTGCAATAAAAAGGTTAGTTTACAGTGCAAAATAAAGCATGTGTTGGACCGCTGAAAATGTAAATGTTGCTCTCTTATTTTCAAACAAAAATCATATTTACAGTATGGATCCTTTGCAACAAACACACAGGGCAGGGAAGATGTGCTGATTGGTGTTTCTATACAATTAATCCCATATGGGGAATTAACTTTCAAATACTAATGAAGTGACTTTTTGTCTCAGTTATAAAATATACTGAGCTCATCATGCAAACAATGTAACACATTTACACTATCCCACTCTCATAATAAGTGTAGTGGGCTTATAGTATTTTTAAAGCAACAATCATTCCAGGCACACAGTTCCCATGTGAAATAACTTACAATAAAACAGAGTAATAAACTTATACTTCTATGCGACAGAAAGAATAAAGCAAAAAGATTTAAGTAGGTCTATCAGGTACAACCTATGAGTCATTTCTTTTCTAATATACAGTACTGCTATCTTGCAAAAAGATAAGTCCTGCGCTCACTCCCATCACTACTGGGCAGCAGCAAGGACTACAGTACACATCAGCCCCAATATATGGTAAAAACCAAAGAAAAACAAGTTACCTGCGTTCTCTCCTTAATCCCTATGTATTTTTAAAACCTCCATTTGTTTAAAAGTACTGCTATCTTATATATACACATATACATATACACACACATATATACATACATATACACATATATACATACACACACATATACATGTACATATATTGGTCACTCAGGACATGAACTCACATTTCCCATACTGCTGACTCAGAGTGGGGACACTACTAACTTACCAAAGTGTGTCCCCAATATAGACAAACAATCACCCACAAAAAACACTTAAGACAAACAAAGGTGACCGGGAGAAAGAGAAGTTTGGGTTATACAAACCGTGCTGCTCAGAACACCTATAGACTTAATAAACCGGAGACCTCTTATGGTCTCAAAAACCTGTATCTACCTGAGATACCCTGTATCTATCTTAGATACTAACCTGGGTTACCAAAACCCTATAATAAACCGGAGACCTCTTATGGTCTCAAAAACCTGTATCTATCTTAGATACTAACCTGGGTTACCAAGAACCCCTATATATATTTAGACCAAATGTCTAATAAACCGGAGACCTCTTATAGTCTCAATATAACTAGAGTCCTTACACCTTTCCTATCTACTGGATACAGACTTACTGAACCAAAGGGGGGTCATAGACAATCAGCGTCAAATAAGACACAAAAAGGCTACTCACCGCAAATGGTTTTGCTGATCCAACTTCTATCCCTCTTCTAGACACCAAGCTGAAAGGGTTAATGTTGTAATGGACTCTAATCCCCTCGGTTCTCGATCCCTCGGTCACCATAATCAACGTTGATGGAGAATCATTTGTAAGCAATAACACACGGACAACAGCTTTACAAGACTCTCAAATGAGTGTATTCCAGAGCTGGCTTTTATACATAGTTTGCTTACATTAGCCATGGTATATGCAAATACAGTACAGACTATAAGATTTATTACTTCCTTATATTACATTATTCTGACAATGGAAAGATAAGCTTTTGCATACGTCTGGAAAAGAATATCCTGAAATCGGAATGGGCAAGACATCCTGAAATTTTAGCATTGTCTTACATCCTATAGAAGAAATACCTTAGTCTGTCACAGTCAGCATATTATGTCGTTATTCAATATCCCTTCAGTCAGCAATAATCATGTTATAAACCTTATAAAAGCATAAAATACATATAAACAAGTTAACTATTTAATATTCTTACAATAGCTGCATGTTCGTCCGACCCCGAACTGATGCCAAGATGTAAATCTGTATGCTAGGAGTTTGTGAATGACTTTTCATTTGGGGGTTCCATGTTGTATGTCCATTTCAGATACCATCTCAGAACTTAAAGGACTACTCCACATCGCAAAAGCACTTCAGCTTACTGAAGTTCTTTATGGGTGAGGAGTACCCTCATTTAATCCCAGTTTGTAAAAGTGCTGATTTCTATAAAAAAATCTGCACTTTTATAAACTAACTAGGAAACTCCCTCCTGGATGTCAATCTAACAGCCAGGGAGGATTCCTTCCTACTTCCGTTAGCTCCTCTGAGCTCTACTTAAACGCGCCTTCATCTCCCTCTCAGACCAGCTCCTCAATCTCAGAAGTCTTAATAATTTTAATATCTTGTACAGAGGTTTGTTAACCAGTGACTGCTCCTCTTTTGCTGAATTTCTAAGAGATGTTGATATAACCTTGGAAGAACTCAAAAGCAACAGCCCTCCCTGGCTTTGTCTATTTAGTGTTATTTCATAGTTCCTGATTACTTTTCCTAAAGTATTCTCCTGCAACATTTCTAACAACTAGTGACCGTTCCAGCTGAGCATACAGTGTCAAATATTAAGCCAGCATTTTTTATCAAGACAAATACTGCCTTTAACAGCAAGTCTACAGGCAAATGTAAATTATTCTGCAATTGATTGTACACCTTAGTTAGTCAGATCAAGCACAATTGTAGAAACTCTGTTCTTTACAGTGTTCTTACAGATTCTGACATCAATGTTCAAAACGGTCTTCTCACCTTCTTCTTTTTTTTCTAACTGTATGAGATATCAACCAATCACATATATTGTCAGTTTATCAGCTTCCGGCCAGCCTTTCATTGGTTTGGATGATTTAATATCAGGCGTTATAGGCTTATCGGAAGCCAGTAAATATCACTTTGATTAATATCTAGTTTAGAAAAATAGATAGCTGTTGGTGTCTAAAATAAGTTAGTATTTCTTTCTTATTTTACTTTTCTGCAGTCCCCCAAAAGTAAAAATCCATAAATTCCTGTTGCTACTCTTAAAATACGAAAGAAAGAAAAAAACATACCGCAAACAAAACAATACGAAAACAATTACATATTAAAATAAAAGTGGATAAAAAAACAATCCACGTGAGCCCTGAGAGGGCTCATAACATATTTCATGGTGGGAGAGTCCTTGTAAGCCATCCATTCAAACATCCAATTGGAGCACTCTGGACAGTCAAGTCTCACTTATCTTGAAGTTTGCATGTGAATTTTCCCAACAAAGTTTCTAGGACTCTCTGATCTGTTGGCTTTCAAGCCGAAAGGGCTTTCCCATCGTGCAATCTGGGTTTGTGCTGAGCCCTCACATGGATTGTTTTTATTGCTTCACATTTTCTTTATTTACTTGACAATCTGGAGTTTTCTTGTAAAAAGAACACAAGTGGCATGGAGAGGGACAAACTACCCCAAAATAGGGGAGTTCACAAGTGTCTCCCCCTTTCCCATGTTGATGTCTTTCAACCTTCTCTATATTCTCTGTTGTTTGTTTTCCCACTGCCTTTTTTGTCCCCTATGCTTTCTTCTCTCACCTTATTTAAAGAGACACTGTAGTTATCTGACCAACTACAGCTTATCATATTTGTTCTGGTGAGTAGAATCCGTTCCTGCAGGCTTTTTCCAGTAAACACTGTCTTTTTAGAGAAAAGGCAGTATTTACATTCCTCCATAAGGACCCCTACAGTGGCCACTCATCAGATGGCTACTAGAGGTGCTTCCACCCTCTGCATTTATTCAATACATCTCTATGAGGAGATGCAGATTTTCCAGGCTTTGTGGTAGAAAGATACTCTTTCTCCTCTACAGAGAAATGCCAAGCCGCTGGCAAGATAGAACAACTGCTCAGCAGATCACTGCAGACAGTAAAGACTGTGTATAAACTTAAAAGCAACTGCACTATTATATCACTGCTATTGGTATATAGATATATTGTATATCTCCATATACATACATACATACATTTAAAAATAAAGGGTCTCTTTGCCTATTTTTTCCCCCTTTTGTCTTTCAGATGTCATTTTTATATTTCCCCTTGATAGTTAGCAATATGTTATAGATCATGCTTAATAACATTTAATGTTTTAAAAGTTATGTTATTAAAACATATTTAATTAAGGGAAACTGTGACAAATGCATCTTTGTTTAAAATGTGCTGTTTTTTGCAATTTCTGTTTTGTAGTCTATCACCACTGAACCTGCACCAGAAGCTGAAGAACCAGAGATTCCCCAGGAGGTGGAGTGTCCAATGTGTGGACAGCAGTTCTCCCTCTCCCAGATCGAGATGCATGCTGCGTACTGTGATGGAGAAAAGCAGGAAACAGGTTAGCAGCAATCTAATTCTACTAATAATGAGTGCAAATTAAAAAAAAATAGCTTGTTTATATTAGTGACGTTAATCCTATGTGTAAGGCATGCCCTGGAAACATTGCAGATGTTTTGATCTTCTGAATGCTATTATTGTTGTATAGTTAGTTTGATCGTTCATGTAATAATATTGTTCTATAGTCTTAAGGAGCAGGCGCAAATTGACTCAGAGGAATCTTGCTGGCCCAAGTAATCTTCTTCCCAACCCAGACTTTGGCAAGTAAGTAGGTATGCAGACTATTTAATGTTTCTTCTATATTTTGTAAATATGTGTCATGAAGTCAGAATTATGGAAATGTCTATGTAAAGGGACTATTTTACTTCTAGTAGGAGTTAAATCTGCTAGACAGGTCTGTTGTATGCTTAGCTTGTGTAAACCACTGTAAGGCATCTACAATTTTTGTTTAGCAGTCATCTTAGACCGATATCAAAAAGAAACTCTTCAATTAAATATATATCTAATATTGATAAAAACAGTAGACCAGTAGATAAAATAAATAAAAATAACTTCTGGATCAACAAGAAAATAACAATGATTGCAACTCAATTAGCATGTCTAAAATAATATCCAATTTAAAATATTTAGTCTACAATGCACACCGAAACAGATATATGTAGTACTTTTGTATGTGTATATACTCATGTTAAACTTTATATAGCGAATTTGGAGATCACCTGTATGTAATTCCTTTCAGGTTCCAAAGCTTTTCAATGGATGAACTCGTGGCATCCTTATATTAATAACTGCAGAACGTGTTCCCTCTTCTATATATTTGTCTGAGTCTAACTTGGCCTTCTGTGTATAATAGTTTGATTTATTGTGATTGGTTTGTTGATGGGACATTGAAATGGGTGTCTGCTATTTAGTAGATCATCTTCTTTGATATTGGGTAAACGTTTAATAAATGTCTAAGGAGCACTCCAAGCACCATAACCACTACAGATAACTGTAGAGGCTATGGTACCAGCAGTGCTCTAGCATCCTCCTAGGGAGCTACTTAATGGAACACCTCATGGTTAGGAATACAAAGCTGTATTCCTAACACTATGTTCCTCAAACTCTGTGAAACTCCTTAAGTATAGAAACTCTAGAAGCAGTCTTAGTACTGTAGTGTAAACATTGCAGTTTCTCTAAAACTGTGATGTCTTATATTGCAGGACTAAGAGGGACAGGGACCCAGATGACTTCAGTGAGACAAAGAAGTTTAGGGTGCCTATTGTGCCTATTTAAGCGCTCCGTCAGAGCTAATGCTCCCATACATTGTTCTATCACCAATTGCCAACTATAAATGCATGCACAAGCAGTGCTTGTGGTAATGACAATGCATCATTGCTGTAAATATACACTAAAGAATGTCATGACCTGTGACCTTAAAGGACCACTCTAGGCACCCAGACCACTTCAGCTTAATGAAGTGGTCTGGGTGCCAGGTCCTTCTAGGGTTAACCCATTTTTTCATAATTATAGCAGTTTCAGAGAAACTGCTATAATTATGAATGGGTTAAGCCTTCCCCCTAATCCTCTAGTGGATGTCTCATTGACAGCCACTAGAGGCGCTTGCGTGCTTCTCACTGTGAAAATCACAGTAAGAGCACGCCAGCGTCCATAGGAAAGCATTGTAAATGCTTTCCTATGAGACTGGCTGAATGCGCGCGCAGCTCTTGCCGCGCGTGCGCATTCTGCCGGCGGGGCGTAACGGAGGCGGAGAGGAGGAGGACAGCTCTCCGCCCAGCGCTGGAAAAAGGTAAGTTTAAACACCTTTCCCCCTTCCAGAGCCGGGCGGGAGGGGGTCCCTGAGGGTGGGGGCACCCTCAGGGCACTATAGTGCCAGGAAAACGAGTATGTTTTCCTGGCACTATAGTGGTCCTTTAAGTGATTTAAACCCCAGATGATACTGGTAAGGTTATCCTGCAACCATGGAACTTCATGATGAAAGGATACTTCTTAGCACACCCAGTCTTAGACACCACCACAGGGATAGGCAACCTTCAGCACTCCAGATGTTGTGGACTGCATCCCTCATAATGCTCTTACACACAATGCTGGCGAAGCATCATGGGAGGTGTAGTCCAAAACATCTGCAGTGCCAAAGGTTGCCTATGCCTGCTACTACCACATAAGTGGTTTTAGTCTACTTTTTTTGGGGTGTATGCAGGTTCGGGTGAACTCAAAGTGCATCATATGGAAGTGTGATGATGAAATTGATTACAGTACATAGTTTTTAGTTTCTGTTGAAATTAAACTATTGACATATATCCTTTTCTACATTGTATTATATTGGTTTGTACAATATTCTTGCTACCAACTACGTAAATAAATATTTTTACTAATTATGTAAATAAATATTTTGGTTACCAGCTAAACGCAAATAGGTTGGTGAATACAGCTATACTAAATTAATTTTAAACATCTATAATACCTAAAGGACACCAAAAACAAACTTCATTTAATCTTTTCCTTTTTTTTTTTCTCCTGTGCACTCAGTTTTTCTTCGTAAAATACATAAAGAAAAGTAGGGGCTATTTTTCCTCATGTATGGCAGTCAAGTTTACAAACCTTGATAATGGGACCAGCTTAAAGCAATGTACTATTTCAGTTACCAATCAAATTCACCTACAGTTCATCAGTAAAATCAATTCCACAGCAAACATCATGGGCAGAGGAGAACAAAATGGCTGTGCCCACATATTAACATCCGGCATGAGAAAGAAAAGATGTTAAGTATAAATAGAGGCAGGTGGCGAGTGTAATCATTAAGCTACATAAAAGGAAAACTAAAAGAAAATGACAGGGTAGCTTTAAACTGAAATAATTTAAATAATGAGTCAGAAGCCGTTAACTGAAATAACATTTTATTCTATACGGCTATTGAGTTAAATAAAAGAAGCAGACAATTTTGCAAAGCAGAAATTCCACTTGAGGGCAGCCAACCCTTACTTGTTGACAAGATTGGGTGCACTGATGTGAGTTTACTTGGCATTGTGGATATGGTCTGCCACAATGGGACCAGTCCGGTATGACATGTAAATACTTTCTCTCTAGTGGAATTTGCAAACTAAAACTTTTTTATTTTGTATTTTAAAACTGTTTTCACATTTTTGTCCTGTAGCACAACCCTGTTTGAGCCATAAGTTTTAAAAAGCTTTTGAATACTAATTCAAGTATTCACATGCTGCACAGAATTAATTTTGCTTTGTTAAACATGTAATTGACATTCTAAGTACTTGACTGCATTGTTGGAAGTCTTTGACTTCCAGCATTTTAAGTTAATAGTGTCAATGTGCTTCCGTTGAAGTAGGTAAGAATAGCACTTATGATATAACAACATCACTTCAATGTTCTCACAGTAACAGATAAGGATATGAAACTCTAGTAAAAGAAGTCTTTACTTTTATGCAAGGTTTCAAAGTTAGGTAACGGTAAGCTTGTTGTATACTTGTGCAGATCGAGAGGGCCTTAAATCTAAAATAAAAAAGCAACACTCCAAAGTTGGAAATTCTTTCATTTGTAACTCTGGAATGTTCATTTTATCTTCATATGTATTTAGTTTTTGTTTTTTTAATTATTTAAGGTTTATGAATGAATTCTAAAAAAAATAAATAGCTCTCTTTTATATAGCAATGATTTATCATAGTAGATTTGAGACCACAAGTGCTCATGTCTGATTTTTGTTAGTGGTTCAGTCTTTCTTGTGAAATTTCCTGATTACCGGACTTATAAGGAAGGGAAACGGTGAAGGAGTAGATGCACCAGGAAGACCACAAAGGTTGAAACACGTTGTGCTTGGACTACTAGTCTCTATACAAGTTTGCTTTTGCACTTGTTTTTAAAAACATTTTTTTAACTAAAATAATCTGGAATACTCTTTATTGCTGAGAAAGGAGTGGGGCAGATTGCCTGTGGAGTACATTAACCAACACCTTTTTAGCCAGAGCCTGCTACATGTGGCTCTGGGTATTGTGAGTGCCTTTTTTTGCTTGTAATTTACACCTGCCACTAAAGGATAACTGCTTCCAGTAGACATTTCAGTATTGTTACTCCTGTCACATATGGAGTTTGTTACTTTTGTAACAAGCACAATCCTATGTTCATCCTGCTATCATATACTGCACTATACGGCATTTCAGAATGTTTGCAAACAATAGGCACCAAGATACTTCCAGGTGGCAGAACGCAAGCGGCTTCCACTGACTTGAATGAACTAAACATATTATTTGAACATTTGTAAAGATATGAGGCACTCGAGATCAGCAAGAATCATGAGATTAAAGAGGAAGCTTTAACTGATCAGAGTTATCGACTTCGCTGGACAACATATACAGGAGTATAAATCAGATTGGGGCATGTTGCTATGCTATGCTGTGCATCAGATTAACCGGTAGAAAGATGAAACAGGGATATGTTATGACAGACATGGTTACCTAGGAGGTTTTCACAGGCTTGTGTGCTCAGTATGAAAGATAAGTCTAGGCTAAACAATACTGAAGAGCATTAGGTGTGCCAGAGAAAATTTAACAAATTGCGTTTTTCCCCCATCTCTTGCGCCGTCCAGGAGTTTATTCAGCCAATTCCTGCTGAGGTTGTATAATAGTTCTGCTTCCCAGCAAGGCAGTGCAAGCCTTTGGGCCCAGATGTTGTCAGACTGGGTAGGTCAGCTTGCAGGGTCAGGATCGTGCTCAGACTGCTGGCTTGGAAACCTGGCAGGTGGAGTAAGTAGGCTTGTCGGGTCTGGTAGCGTTGGATCGTGGCAGTCTGATCGGCGGGAGCACAGTGACGCACCACATCGATATATGCTAGTCCAAAGATACTGTGGTGCCTATGCCCCCACTCGACGAAGAGGTAGGAGAGACTGCAGGCAGACACACGCGGCACAGAACCAGCTAACCAGACCCAGCAGACATACCCTCGGGCCTATCCAGACAGCTGGCACTTGATGCACAACATTGCTCCCTCTCTCAGATCTGACCCGCAGCACCTCCACGGTGGCACCGCGACATTCACTAGCCAGACCACAGCAGTATAGAACCAAACAGCCAGAGGGTATCGGCTGAGGCGAACTCTTTACCACAGGGGGACTTTACTGCCTTCAGCCTCCACAATGCGGACTCTTAAGTAGAGGGGGGGGGGTTAGGGGTGTCTGTACACTATATGCTTGCTTTTCTCAAAAACCATCCCTTTTTAGATAGCAAAAGTAATAAATACAATCAAAATAACGCTGAAATGTAAACTTCACTTTTCAGAACATTAGTGGACTAAACCTGTCTAAAACAGATTATATTTATCGAAGTAATTTTCAAATTTAATGTTTAAAGTATCTGGACTGGAAAGATTCTTTAAACCCTGAGAGTATAATCATACAACCGTCATGAAGAAGATTCTAAGGTGTATTGTACATTTGCTTTGAGAATAAGTCACTGAGGGAATTTTTAATATTTAATGGACTGTGCATACGCTGGGCCTTGCATGCCACCATACTGTATTTGAACGTGTCTCTATGTAGCTATTGTCATCTCCTCAATTCTTTCTTTATATGGCCAAATTTGTTTTGTTTTTGAATTAGAGCAACACTTTAGTGTTAGGAATACAAAGATGTATTCTTATCATTAACATGTTCCTCAGCACCTGCACCTTGGCAGCGAGTGTTGCGAGCAAATTCGGCCTTCCCCATAGAAATGATTGACTTTGTTGCTTTCCTATGGGATTTTCTCTGAGGCTGGATGTCCAGCGTCATATCACGGTGTCAAACTCCTTAAAATTCAAGGAAACGCCTCTAGTAGCGATCTGGTAGACAGCCACTAGAAGTCGTCTTAGTACAGCAATGTAAATGTTGCAGTTTCTCTAAAACTATGATTTCCATTGCAGGGCTAAGGGGGATAGGGACACTGCACCCAGACCACTTCAATGAGATTAAGTGGTCTGGTTGCCTATAGTGTCCTTTTAAGGAAATATTTGCGTGGAAAAGTTTGAAATATTCTATTTAATATAGTCCTAAATTGCACTAGTGACCTTGTTTTCCACCTGATGCTATTTGACAGATTTGAAAAATGCTACTTGTGCAAGACTGTGGTTCAACTGGAAGATTATCAGACACATGTGGATAATTGCTTAAAAATGGCCACACTGGAGACCCCAAGAAGCCGTAGGTTGAGGAGCACCAAAGTGAGTGTCTGTTGTAGTCTGTCCCAACTTCAAAACATAACACTAGTCATGAAAACGTTTTCGTTAAGCATATGGCAGAAACCAGCAGATAGACGACATGCAGAGTTTCGTTCCACTGGTAAAGAACTCTGTGGGACTGGACCTCATAATATTAGAATTTCATTATGTATGTACCCAGTTGCGTATGATTATTCAGTCCACCATACCTATTACTTGGGGGGGTCCCTTTTTTTTGTTTTTGGTGTGTTTTATTCTCCAGTAAAATAAAACATTGATATCCTTGTGGAATTGCACACAAAGGCTACTTCACGATTTGTTAAATAACAAATTGTCTTTAATATCTTTTACCTGCTTGTTATCAGTAATGTATTTGTATCTACTGTAAACGTATCTTGTTTAAAATTATATTAAAAAAAAAAAAATTCTGTCATCACACACAATTTTGTTGCCCCTGTAATTTTGAATGCTCCTTATAATGACCACCAATTGGACTAGAGCATATGATTTATTTATAAAATATTTTACCAGGATGGATACATGGTTTTCAAGTATGTCCTGGGTCCACAAAACATTGCATTGTTACATTTTTTTATAATTGAATTAATATCTTGCTGGAAAGTAATCCTTCCATATTAGCAGCAGTTGCTTTAGTGTTTGTATACTAGACAGTTATTTTTAAGGGGTTGGCTTTAACTATTTATGAAATATAAAATTCTAACCATTTCTGTCTTCATGCACAAAGTGATGAAGGTAATTCCATCTCCTCATTCAGAGGCTTTACAAGAAGACCACAAACTGGAATGGCGCTCATACTTCTGTCTGTAGCTCCATTCAGAAAAGTAGGAATGAAGTTGTCTGTTAGCTAATTTGCTTGGGCAGCACTCCCATTCGCTTTTCTGATTAATGGAACCACTGTAAATTGCTAAAGTTCATATCCTGCAGATGTCTCCTGAGCAGGTTTTTTTCATATTATTATTATTGTTATTATATGGAACACATTAAATAACGTATTGGTCAAATATAATAACTTAAAATAAGTGAGTCAATATAAGATGGACCTGTGTGCATGTTGTGTGTTATTGTTCAGAAATGTCATTGGTTCAGATTATATAATGGTGGATCCCAGCTTACGCTTGACCTTTTTGTTTTTGCGGTCTTTTTATAACAGCAGGAATCAAAAGGGCAAAATGGCAGACTGCTGAGTATGCTGGATAAGTCTGAAGCAATAACATCAGGTATGATACATAATGTGAATGAGTAAACAGGAATGTATTTTTATGCAAGGATTTGGAACTGACCTTTTGTTTTTAACCTGATAAATTCATTAACGGGCTTCCAGTAAAACTGTTATAAATAAGAAAGTGGATTTTGAACACTATATTGTATTCTGATACTGAAAAGAAAGGCACATGGAAATTAGATGAGAAAACAAATTCAAAGTACCATCTTCATATTGGTTACATTTAATACATAAATTGAGATTTGCAGATTTAGTTGTAGTCACAGAACATATAAAAAATGAACATTTTGAAATCAGCACAATAAATACAGTCAGTCGTTCTAAAACTGTTTCTTGGGACTGTTTAATGGCGGGAGTTTCAGCGGCTCCAAGAAATGTGAGTATATGTATTTTTCATCCTGTTCTTGGCTGTCACATCTTTCTTTTTGTGTGCTGTGAGATCTGCTATGTGATTTTTCTGTACAGTACTGCCTTACACTGTCGAGAGACATTTGCTACATTCCACCAGCAGTAAAAGAGGACACAGGAAGTGACAATGAAGTCACTCTGATTCGTTGAGTCCAGCTAGAAAAATCATTTCACATTACAATGTTTACAAATATATTAAACATCCAGGTCTAGTTCTGCCCTGGGTGATCTAGTAGTAGGTAATACAAATGAGCAATAAGTGCAGTTCAGCTTAAACTTTCTGGAGTTTTCCCAAAGTATTTACCTTACTTCCCAACAGTAGTAAAATTACATTTTGGATTCCGCTTATGTGTTTCCCTTTAAGGCAGCAATGTTCCTCATCCTATTTGTAAGTCTTTGTGCGTACACACATTTAGTCGCTTTAAGGATAAATGGCTTGAAGGAAGAGTGCAGCATATTACTCTTTTTGCTGCACATAGAACATAGAGTTGTTATGATCTCTGCCTGTCTACATACTAAACAGCTATCACGTGCAGTGAGAAATCACTGCGAGTCACATTGCTGCCTTTGTTAAATTTTTCAGGAGATTTAGTTTAAAATAAGGTATGTGTTTTTATATGCATTTTGGGAGACAGATCCACATCTCCTGATTTTTATTCTCCTCCCACCACCACCCCCCTATAAATTATAGTGCCAGAAAAACAAAGCCATCCTAAAGTGCCACCCTCCTGCGTCGCTGAAGGGGTTAAAACTACATCAGTCTCTTTTCTGAATCCAGCGCTGATGTCCCTCGACGCTGGTTCAGGCTCTGCCCACGCTCCTCCCCCAGCCATGTGAGCCGACAGGGGAGACCTCATGCGCATGCGCTGTAATGGCTGCGCTCGCATTAGGATTTCCCCATGGGAAAGCATTATTCAGTGCATTCCTATGGGGGAAAAATGGATGCTGGATGTACTCATCCAGAGCGTGAGGACATCCAGCGTCAGATAACGGACCAAAAGTCTGTTTAAAACCAGGAAGCCCTCTTGTGATTGTCTGGTAGACAGCCAGTGGAGGTGGAGTTAACACTGATTAGTAATTATTACAGTTTCTCAACTGCAATAATTAATATTGCATGGTTAAGGGACATGGGATATTGCACCTAAACCACTTCAATGAGCTGAAGTGCTCTGGGTGCCTACATTGTCCCTTTAAACATTTGGAATTTCAATTATCACATGGGTATTTATTGGCAGCATGCTGCGTTGTTCCCTGTCATTGCTATGTGCAAAAAATGCATGGGTAGCCTGGCCTCTTCTTTTTTGTAAGTGCAGGTCTGACTAATAACTGCTGCAGAGTTTGCTGACCTGATCCAATTCTCCTCCACTCACTCTGGTGGAACTCTGATGGCATTGGTCTCTACATGTTTTCACTGTGCAAACTAGCTCTTTCTGTGTTCTGTGTAAAAGGTCTTGTTGAGGGAGTGCAGTAGGAATAATATTTTATATATTGTCTTGCTCCTTCGACAGACATCAACACCTCAAAAGATATTTGTACATAAGTGATTGACTGCTGCACATCACCTAATCCACTTAGTCAAACTGTGACATCCAAATGTGATTTTTTTTGTTGTTGTCATTCTTTGTTTTATTAAGGCATACTTTTGACAAACAGAATAGTAATGCAATAGTAACAGTTTCATTATAAACAAGGAGTTAATATCACATGAATGATGACTTTAGTCTGCAAAAATGCTTATCAAATGTGATCTTGATTATGAATTAATTGATATTGTTAATGTGAAAATGAAACTTCCACCTTAGCATGTTTGCCAAGCAAGGGGAAGTTTTCTCTAACAGCTTGACCAAGAACTGGAGGACAGTGTGGTGTGTAGTTTTTCTGGTTCTTTTTAAGTACCACTTTTTGATATGGACCATTGTGCTGGGAAGGCATATAATACTGAAGATATTCACTAATCAGGGAATTTTAGAGAAATTGCAAGACTTGGCCCATTCATCCATGGTGCTAAAATAGTGCAGCACCAACTAAACCCCCCACCCCTCTTCCCCATATCCTGTAAATAAGCTCTTTTGGCCTAAATTTTGCAGTTTGGTTTTCTGTTCAGTGGACTTCACATTTAAGTGAATAAATCATGTAGAACAGGCTGTTTTTGAATGTGCGATATGATGCAGTTAATATTACTTATGACAGTACTAAATAAGGGATTTATGACACTGTATTGCATATTTTTTCCCTTATACATGATCTTACTGGGGGATTTTCAAATTATTATTTTTTAGGAATGTGCATTAACGAGCCTCTTTAGTGTTCATTTGAGTAAAGAGTTTGCGTTTAGATAGGCAATACATTTATGTGCACACCAGACTGATTTTATTTTTTTTTTATTTTTTTTAAATGCATCCGTTTTACAGGAGCACACAGCAGTCTCCCAGAGGTGGATTGTATGAGGTGAGTGTTGCGGTCCCTTTGCTGGTCCATCATTAAGCGTGACGTCTAACGTTTAGTACTGCCTCTTTTATCGCCTGCATACAATTAATGATGTATGAGTCTACAACCCTAAACCTGTAACTTTGCTACCATATTTTTCAATATGTACCATTCTTTGCAGATGTTATGTTTTGTTCCTGTTTTTATCCTAGTTACCGTATATACAGTATATAAGACAAGTTTTTTGGCACTTTTTTTGTGTTCAAAAAGCCTCCTCGTCCTATACTCGAGTCATGGTCTGTATTATGGCAAATTACATTGCCATAATACAAACATGACATGTTGGGGGCCGGAGCAAGCTGTTACTTACCTTTACAGCTGCTCCGGTCAGCTCCCAGCACCTCCGCGCGGCACCTCTGTGCTGCTCCCAGTGTAAATCTCGCAAGACTTACACTGGGAGAAGACCGCGTGTAGGTAGGAGGGTAATTGTTAACGGCCGTCCCCCTGCACAGCCCCCCCTGCCCCTGAAAAGCCCCCCCTTGCCCCTGAAAAGCCCCCCCTGCACAGACCCCCCTGCCTCTCGCGAGCTGAGTGTTGCCGCAGTTACCATGGCAATGCTCCGAATCTCACGAGAGTGAACACTAGCCTCAGGAGCTGCTAGAGTTCACTCTAACCACTGGGACCACCAGGGATTGCCCTCCTACCTCCACAGACCCACAATAATTACCCCCTACACACACACACACACACACACACACACACACACACTGCCCCCTTACGCACACTCACATCCTTCACAAACACAATGCACTTTGTACACACTGCACCCCACACATTGCTCCCCTCACACACACATACATTGCACCCCTTTCAAAAACACTACCTCACCTATGCCCTACTATAAAGCTGCACAGCTTCTCAACCTACTGTAATTCTTTCAAAATTCAATTCTCATATGTTATAAAACAATTTTTTTTATTTTTTACCTAGGATTTCACCTCCCAGAGAAGAAAATAATGAAAGTATGAATAATGAGGATTTGACAGTCAGCGATTCTCCAATCAGATCATTTGTTTCCATTTCAGAGGCCACAGATTGCCTTGTCGACTTTAAGAAGCAGTTCAGTCGACAGCCAGGTGGTGGAGGTCCCAGACGCCATGCAAAAGGTCAGCCAAGTGGTGGAGGCCCCAGACGCCATGCAAAAGGTCGATGGAGGAAGCGGTGATGAAAGGGGGAAAAACCCTATAAACGACAAAAACCACTTTGTGATGAAGCCAGATTTTTTTTTACCCAGGGACCAGTGAACTCTTTCTCTTTTGTGGCTCATAGCTTAGAACTTTGGTTCAAATATATTTATATATTTTATTTGACATAAAAAACAAAAGAACTGTATATAAAATAGATAATGCAGAACTTTTTATTGTGAATCGTCTTTATGAATTATATTGCATAGAATTTTCACTTGAGTATTTTCTGATGCCGGGTGTTTTCCAAGTAGGGGAGACATAATAATGATTTTCCAGAAAAGTTATTTTTTTCTTTACATTCCCATGCAAAGTCAAAACAAAGCTTTGCATCATAGCAGTGCATTAAAAAGCTGTGTAATATTGGGGTACGGTGTGTGAAAACTTTTTTTCTTCTTTTTATATAAGTTTTTATTTTTGTTTTCCAATACAACAAGAGAAGATATGCCAAAGTTACATATATGTACATGTCACAGAAGACACAAAATGAAACCACGCAAATCAATGAACAGAACAGAGTTTGAAAATATGATGGGGTCGAGGTTTCGCCCATGTTAGTAAGGGTGTAAAGAACCCCCCCCTCCCTCAGGGACCACTAAACCATCCAACATGTCAAGGGAGTATTTAAAAAAAAAAAAGTCTTAACACAATGTGTATTATTTTAGTTTAAGTGCCTGCAAAGGTAGAATTATGTGTTTTATGTTCATGTATGTTAAACGAGTTTTATATACTTGTCAATTAAGTTATCTTGTATACACTGAGAATAACCTGGTGTCCTAGATTTTTAGAAATAAGTATCTGTTAAAAAAGAAACGTCAATTTCTATTACCATCAAAGCAGCACAGCTTATTTTTCTTCAGTTATTCACTTCACAATTATTTTGACTATTTGTTAAGGTATATGGTTATTTAAAAACATTTTGTGGTTTAACACTTTCATTTCATTTTTGAATATTGTCTGGGGGTTTTCTCCTTTTTTTAATTTATTTTTCCCCCAGATATTTTCCATATTAATAATGTCTGCATTTGAAAAATGTAAAATCATCTATTAATTCCCATTACTCCATCAGGACATGGGTTAGATATATCCTGACAATATTGTCCAATCACCTATCAGGAATGGATTAAACAGCCATGTAATAAATGATCACTGCAGTGGCTAAACCACATACTTTCAGTGAAGGGAGACAACTTTGTTGTTGTTGCTTTGAGAGTGCACCCCACAAAATGTATTATAAATATTTTATATATTTTTTTATTTTTTTCCCCTCTTTTGGTTTTTCTTTTATTATCCTTATCAGACTCTCCAGATTAGTTAATAACACCTTAATATATTAATCTAAGAAAGACCACATGCCTGAAAGAATTTAAAGAATTGTTCTTTGTGGCTGATGATGGGCACAATAATTGAACTGTCTGAACATGTAAACTGCACAGGTCAGATTAATTACCAGTTTTCAGTGTACTTTTCAGAGCAAACACTATTGAATATGTGCATTTTGAATGAACTGTGCCATTGATTTGAGTTAGCGTTACAACTGCCAGTTTTTAAATTTAATTCATTTTCCTAATTTATAAATATTATTAAAGGTACTTTTGTTGTCTATACAAATTGATGGCATGACTACTTAAGTTGGTCACTTTTCAGACGTAATTCTAACTGATATATATCTAACGTTCTCTTTGCTGTAAACTATGTGAAAGCTGTAGATAAGCAGGCCTTCTGGGGGTGTGTAGTTAAGCATTCAATATCCGGGGAACTGCTTGCTTCTGTCCCCATGTAGATGATGGTTTTCCTGGTCCTATGAGTGGAGCCATGGAAGCAACCATGATTGCTCATGGCCAAATCACTGACTTTAAAATAAAGCTGTGTAGGTCCCACCATGCTTCCAAGAGAGATGAGATAGTTTATACATATCCCAACACACACAATGCACAAGTACACGGGCAAGCAGATGAAACTTATGCTAACGTTTTAGTTTTTTAATATTCTTTAATACTTTTGCTAAAGTATACAGTGCATATCAAATACAAGGACAATCAAGGGAAACCAATAAAGTCTCTCATACTCAGAAAAGGCATCCGATTAAGTGAATTTCTACTGTTAGACGTCATGTCGCAAGATGAGGAGGATAGCGAAGAGTGTGGGGGTGGAATTACAACACCACACCATAATATTCTGTGTAGTCGGAGACCAAGGACCTCTCTCAGCACAGGTGCCTTTTAATATATTCAATCTGAGTGCCAACGTACGGGAAGACATATCACCCCGTCATACAAAAAAGCTGTCATAGCTCCCATAGTACCTGTGTCTTCATCCCTTTCCACCCACTGGGAACAATGGTAGACAACCAGAGGACAAGGAGTAAAGACTTGGCAGCATTAGGGTCTTTTAAGACACTTCTTGTAAGTAGAAACACAGTAAAAATGTTTGTTAAAGTGGGCTGATAGCGGTAAAAAAATGTTTTTGCGCAAAATGCTATGGTTATAAATAACTAGGAGGAGGGACACAGAACAATGTTGTCCCATAACCTTGTTTAAGCCTTATATCTGCAATGCAACCATATATTTGTCAAAACCTATTCCATGTAAAGAATAACATGAGAAGTTAAATGTGAGATTTCTCCAGTAAAGCACTATTTTTCTCATACCAAATTATTGAAGTTTTAAGTATTTATTTTGTGTGTCAATGCCGCCAACATACTTTTCAGCATTTCCTCTCCATTTTTTTTGGCCAATGAATGGAATAATAGTCTTTTTATGCTCTCCTCTTTTTGCTCGTTAGTAAATTTTCTGTACTAAAGTAATAGCAGTGTCACGTTAGAGGATATAATTATTGCAAACACCTTATCCACTGATTCATTACTTAGTCATGGCTTTTATTAGAAAAGATCTGACAACATTTGCCTTCATGAATCTTAAGAAATAAAAACTAAAGAGGCACACCATCTGATTAGGATAATTCAAAACGTGCTCTTTACAAACACATTTTTATGGATTGTAAGAAATAAAAATGCAAAAATAGAATTCCACAGAGATCACAATGTAATTGGCAAATAAAATACCAAAAAAACCTTTGAGATAAGTTCACATATGTATAAGGTCACACTATAATAAAAGCAGATTTATATAAGAGAGCTGGTAATGGGGTCTATACAGAACTCCTACCAAAACATTTCATGATTGAGCTGTGGAGGCAGGTAAGATAAGGTCATGGATACAGAGAACAGAGTAGCTGAGACAAGCCAAGATCAATAACCAGGAATCTGAGTATGTAAAAAATATGCTCTAGGACAAGCATGTCAAACTTGTGGCCCATGTGATTATGGAAATATTTGCAGCCCATCTGCCCTGGGGTTACTTCGCAAAGATATTTACTGTCTGATTCTGGTCTTCCCTCCCATGGCCGATCGCATGCTCCCGCAGACTAACCACTTCCCCTTCCCTCCTGCTCGCAGTGCCAGAGGAGCATCTGGCCAGAGTCTGTCCCCACTGTTACCACTTCAGACCTGTACACTTGAACAACGAAGGGAAGGGGAGAAGCATTGACGTATCCTACCTAACCTGGCCTACATGTGGCATTGGCTGACCTGTCTCGGCAGACTACCCTACTTCAAGTTACAATATTAAACATCTGAAAAGCAGAGAACTAGTGTGTTTATTATATGTTTTGAACCAAGTGGCACTATCCTCATGCTATATTAAGCCTGCGATAGTATTGCTCATTAATTAATTTAATGACTGTGCACAAGTTATGCTTTGTAAAATCCACAAGTTTCTGTTCTTATTTCTTGCTCTTTAAACCTCGCATTGCATCAGTCCTCTTGAACTCAATCTACTCTATCCTGTTCAGCAAACTGCCAGTATCTATGTCATGGCACATTCTATCTCTCCTCGCCTATATACTGACACATCTTGCATAAGCCTGATTATTATATAAAAAAATCTGTGCAGTCTTACTCTGTGCCATACTACAGTTTATTATATATTGCCTGTCTTTGCTGTTGTGGCATTTCCAGCTTTTATGTGTACCTCTTTTGCACAACAAAAATAAAGAATTATAAAAAATTTCCCAAAAATTACATAAACTTTTAGCATAAACTACTAATTATTTTGGCCAAAAGGCTATAAAATAATGAAAAGTTGTGTTGGTGTGTATCCTGTAAGTCTTAAGTCTAGTGGTAGTCATGGCGTGCCCAGAAACAGTATTCCATGCATGTCTTTAACACTACAAAACACTTCTTAAACTTGGTACAGGCATGGGAGTAGTGCCCTTTGTTTTTTTTAGCTTGAAAGTTTTTATTCCTTTTCAAGGTGATCGCTGAAATAAGACATTGCACATGATACAACTTTGCAAAATAACATTGTTAGTATTAACTAGTGGGTCTACCATAAGAAAAGGGGGTAAAGAGAAAGAAGAGGGGAAAACAAGGAAAATTAGGGTATGTCAATTCTATTTAAGGGAGCGTTAGTTGCTCGCTTCACGTAATGCTGTTTTCAATATATGTTACCATAATAATTTTATTACCTAATAAATCCACATTTCTGTAACTGGATTATGGCGACAATGTACTAATTGTGTGCCGACACAGTACCCTCAGTTACGTGATGTACAGCATAGTTTCGTAGGAATGCTTCCCACCTTCCCCTTCTTATAGAGTTGCTGGATTTGGAAAGATTTGTGACTGTGCCATGGTTTCATATGACCTATTTAGAGAGAAAGGTTTTTGTGTCAATTAAATAGAATTAAATAGAAGCGTCAAATACTGTGGTTACATCAGAGTTTTAAAAAGTCAAATTTTTTTGGTGCTAATCTGCTAAATAGTAAATTTGGGGCGTGCTCTTCATATCTGAGAGTGAAATAGAAGCGTCAAATACTGCTGTCACGTTGCAGTTTTAAAACGTACATTTTTTTGGGTGGTAAACTGCTAAATAGTATTTTAGTGGGATGCACTTCATATCTAAGAGTCAAATAGAAGCGTCAAATAGTGCACTTACAGAGCAATTGTAAACATTCCAATTGTTTTGGTGTTAAACTGCTAAATAGTACATTTTGGGGGTGCCCTTCATATCTGAGAGTCAAATAGTGCGCTTATAGCGCAATTGTAAACATTCTTATTTTCTGGTGCTAAACTGCTAAATAGTACATTTGCGGCCTGCACTTCATATCTGAGAGTCAAATAGAAGCGTCTTATAGTGCGCTTACAGCGCAATTGTAAACATTCTTATTGTTTTGGTGCTAAACTGCTAAATAGTACATTTTGGGCGTGTGCTTCATATCTGAGAGTCAAATAGAAGCGTCAAATAGTGCGCTTACTGCACAGTTGTAAAATTCTAATTGTTTTGCTGCTAATCCGCTAAATAGTACATTTTGGGTGTGCTCTTCATATCTGAGAGTCAAATAGAAGCGTCAAATAGTGCGCTTACTGCGCAGTTGTAAAAATTCTAATTGTTTTGGTGCTAAACTGCTAAATAGTACATTTGCAGCCTGCACTTCATATCAGAGAGTCAAATAGAAGCATCAAATAGTGCGCTTACAGCGCAGTTGTAAACATTCTTTATGTTTTTTGATGCTAAACTGCTAAATAGTACATTTTGGGGGTGCACTTCATATCTGAGAGTCAAATAGAAGCGTCAAATAGTGCGCTTACAGCGCAATTGTAAACATTCTTATTTTCTGGGTGCTAAACTGCCAAATAGTACATTTGCGGCCTGCACATCATATCTGAGAGTCACATAGAAGCGTCTTATAGTGCGCTTACAGCGCAATTGTAAACATTCTTATTGTTTTGGTGCTAAACTGCTAAATAGTACATCTTGGGCGTGCTCTTCATATCTGAGAGTCAAATAGAAGCGTCAAATACTGCGGTTAAAGCGCAGTTTGACAAATTCTAATTTTTTGGGGTGCTAAATAGTACATTTGTCATATCTGACAGTCAAATACCAATATAACAATATTGTAATTCTGGGGCAATAACCTCACAAGTCAAACTGAGAGGTCAGTTTATAGGGAAAACTGTTGCCTGGATACAATTCTAAAACAATTCCCATATGTCCTTTGCAGAGTTTACATGCTGGAAAAACACAGGTGCCAACTGCTGTGGCTTTCTGCAGTGTGCAGACTGGAAAGGAGAGCAGGGTTGAGGAGTGGGTGGAAGATGATGTGGAGGATGATGAGGTCCTAGACCCCACATGGAATCAAGGTCATGCGAGTGATGTGTGCAGTTTGGAGGAAGAGGCATAAGAGGGAGCAGGGGGCAAAAGCGGAGCGGCCGTCCCCTAGCGCTCGTCTCGTTGTATTAGCTCAAGAATTACCAGTTATCCAAGTAATACATGTAGTGATCAAAGGATCCATATTAGAGTTGAGCGAACCCAAACTGCAAAGTTCAGGTTCATACCAGATTTAACGATCCATTCGTAGTTTCACAGTCAGATGGGCAGTCCGGTGACCAGGACCCAGACACTGGGCGGCGATCGGACGACCAGGACCCAGTATGCCTGTTGTTGAAGTTAGGAGTCACAGTGTGGAATGGATTAGCAGGGTCTGGTGCAGGGTAACCGCACAGCCCCTGGTGTTGAGCACCAGCGTTTGTGCGGCCACATACCAGGACCCTGATGCAGCTTCAGTAAAAAGAGTACTGGATACCAGAAGCCATCACCAGATTGATCTGCAACTTGGAACAGGATGTGACATTCACTGTAGTGGCTGTGCGCGCTTTTGGCGTTCTCACCCTGCTGCTGCTCTCCTGTCTGCGCTGCAGCGTAACTTTGGCCTTCCTGCTCACCGCCTCATATGCGACGTGCCCACAAGGTGGAACTCAACCTTGCACATGCTGGAGAGACTGTGCGAGCAGCAGCAGGCGATAGTGGAGTTTCAGCTGCAGCACGCACGGGTCAGTCGCTCTGCACCAGACTTGCCCTACAATTGATCAGAGTTAAAGGATTTCAAGTGGACTTATTACAATTACAGGGCCTCTAAAGAGTCCTGTATTGTTTTTTGACGTCACTACCTTCCTGCGTCGGGAGTGGGTCATTTGCGCGCCTGCTGCCTTCTTTGCATGTGGTAGCCATTTCTCATATTCCCTCTCCGTAATCCAACCCTGATTCCCCGTTACCTGTGGTCACCATGGTAGGCGCAGTAAATGGCAAAAGTTGATATGGATGACATACGAATGTGTCGTCGCCTTGTCGTTGGGGAGCCCATTGAAAAAGTGCTCTATTATGACGAGCTGGGTGATCTCCTCTAGGAACTTGGCTTGATGGGAGTTGAGCCAGTTCTGGGTGGCCCTTGTGATGTGGCATGCCCACTCCGCATGGGAGTCCTTCTCCCCTGTCCGGGTCTCCCTAATCTTTCGGCGTTATTGCTCGGGGGTGACCACATACCGGGCCAGGAGGATTTGGGTAATAAAGGGATAGTCTCTGATCTGCTCTTCTGGTACAGCCCTGTAAATATCCGCTGCCTTCCCCACTAGTTTGCTGGCCAGGATTGGTGACCCAGTCGCTGGGGTCCACGTCTTGGAGTAGGCACTGGCGCTCAAAGTCTTGTAAAAAGTCATCGATGCCTTCTTCTGCTTCCTTGAAGTCTTTGAAGGCATTGTATGGTAGCTTGTGGGCCAGGGTGGTTGTGCTTCCCAGCGCCCTCTGCTCCCTTCTTCCTTCATCTGGGTTCATGGAGGTCGCCCTCTGTCTATTGGCAAGGACATAGGCTTGCACGTCCAAAAAGGTCCTGCTGACAATCTCCTCTGAGGGTGGCTCTCGGTAATATGCCAGGCGCCATTACACCTCCTTGCGCACTTCCTCCTAATCTCCTGCTGCTGTTTGCCTGTCTGCGCTGCAGTCTAACTTCGGCCTTCACGCTCACTGCCTCATGAGAGCCGGCGATAGTGGAGTTTCAGCTGCAGCACGCACGGGTCAGTCACTCTGTGGAACAGAGTTATATTTTTTTATATGTCCCAATATTTTGGGGGCTACCCCAATTAAAAAGAGGCTACCTCCTCCTCCACCGCCGCTTCCACCTACACTGCCACGGTCACCGCCTCCTCAACCTATGTGTCACTTAGTATAAACTATGTACACAATAGCAGAGACTTGTGAAGGCCTTTTCTCCATGCATCAGGAGTTGAGCTCAGTTTGAACAATGAAAGAGAATTCCCTGCATTCCAACCCTCTCTCAAATGGATAATTCTGGTGATCCTCCTGAAAGCCATGCTTTAGATTTTGATTTATGTTCTTCCAAAGCTAAAATCAAAGATTCCATCTAGTGCTATTTTATGGCTCAGCTGTATTTTTAATTTTTATGTTATTTTAAGTGATTTCCCTATCCACATTTGTTTGCAGGGCACTTGTCCTACCCTTACACACATTTTACTTCCTTTTGCAGCCCTCTAGCCCTTTCCAGGACTGTTTTAGATGCATTTTTGTGCCCAAAAGTTCGGGTCCCCTGTTGATTTCAATGGGGTTCAGGTTTGGGGCCAAGTTCGAGCACGAACCTGGACTTTTTTTCAAAGTTCGGCTGTGTGAAATCACACTGTACCACTATGAAATTCATTTTAATTCTGGCTCTGAAGGCACACAACATTAATTTTATTAGGTGATTTGTGGACAACTAGTTAGCTTTTTAAACAAACGTAAAGAATTTTACTTTTTTTTCCCATTGTGGAATTCTTGTCAAACCACCGTTTAATGCATCGACTGACAGATTTTTGGAATATAAGTTTTTTTCTGTACGTTTTATTAGGAACAAGTTCATATTTAGTTTTTCACTTTATTTTGGATAAATAGAGGCAGAAATGTGTGAAAGGCTCGCATTTGACATGATTTCCCACTACGGAAATTTCCAAGGGGGAGGGGTGGGGGGGATGTTGGGGACTCTGGCCCTTCTGGACTTCAAGTTTTATTACCAGGCCAAGAAGGTGGTAGAATGGTACGAACAAGGGATATTGAAGCTGTGGAAGGAGGCTGAGACAACACAGATGGGAAGATTTATGATGACTCTGCACTTGGCTGGACCTGATTCATTGCTCTTGACTCGCAGTTGCTCACCTTTTCATAAAACTCTAAACTTGAGCTAACCTCTTTTCTCTCCCCTTGTACACCTTAGTTTACAACCTGGCTTTGGTGGGAACATTCCCGAGACTAACAGGAGACAGCGTCCCCCAAATGAGACATTTGCTTACTCACAGGAAAGTGAAATGGATCCTATAGTTCCAGTAAAACAAAGCCATTTTCCTGGCACTTTAGGGTTAATACGTCCCCCTCCCTCGGGTCCCCGCTCCCTCAGAGACCTCTCATTGAAGGAGACCTCACCCCTATGGAGTCTGTATTTATAGATTCAGACACCTTGGAACATGTGATCTTCTTCTTATATAATTCGATCCTGACACAGAGTAGGTTTCCACCCCCTAGCTTCATGAGGAAATGGGAGGAAGTGATTGTGAAAGGGAGGGGGTGATGGTGAGAGGTAGGTGTGTGTTGGTGTAAGGGAGGGGGTGGTCGTGAGAGGGGGGGATGATGGTGTGAGTGAGGAGGGGTGATGGTGAGACGGAGGGGGCATAATAATGTGTGGGAGGTGGGTGATGGTGTGAGGGAGGGGGGACTAAATACCTTTTGTCATTCCCTGGTGGTTTGGCCAGATCTTGCGAGACACATGATCTGCTCTGCGGAGCTGCAGACCAGCGGCCACAGGCGCTCCCCCTCCTGGTGTCGAGTCCTCGGTCACTGACCGAAGACCTGACACAGTCTGCCATAAGGCGGTTTAGGTGGCCGCGTGGCCCCAGCCAGCGCGAGGCCTTAGGCGGACACCTTAGCCACATAATTAGAGAGTCACCTCTGCAGGCAAGCAGACAGAGGCCATTTTTTAAATGATTTTGGTCGACCTGGTGGTGCAATTGCACCACCATCGCGCCACCCAGACAGACAGCCCGCCCGCCCGCCGGGGTCAGCAGGGCCAGCCTCGGGGGGGCCCTGAGGTGGCCGTCTTCTGGGTCCCCCAGGAGAAGATGCTGGCCCTGTGGCCCGGGCCCGGCCGCAGCCGCGACCCCTGCGACCCTGGTATGTACGCCACTGCCTCCTTGCAAAACTGCTCCAGCTCCTTCAAGTTGGATGGTTTGCGCTTGTGAACAGCAATCTTTAAGTCTGACCACAGATTTTCTATTGGATTGAGGTCTGGACTTTGACTAGGCCATTCCAACACATTTACATGTTTCACCTTAAACCACTCAAGTTTTGCTTTAGCAGTGTGTTTGGGGTCATTGTCCTGCTGGAAGGTGAAGCTCCGTCCTAGCCTCAAATCACACATAGAGTGGTACAGGTTTTGCTCAAGAATATCCCTTTATTTAGACCCATCCATCTTTCCCTCAACTCTGACCAGTTTCCCAGTCCCGGTGTTCTTTGGGTGATGTGATGTGTTGGGTTTGCGTCAGACATAGCGTTTTCTTTGATGGACGTAAATTTAAATTTTAGTCTCATCAGACCAGAGCACCTTTTTGCAAACTCAAAACGTGCCTTTTTGTTGAAAGTAATGGCTTTCTTCTGGCCACTCTGCCATAAAGCCCAACTCTATGGAGCGTACGGCTTATTGTCGTCCTATGTACAGATACTCCAGTCTCTGCTGTGGAACTCTGCAGCTCCTCCAGGCATACCTTAGGTCTCTGTGCTGCATCTCTGATTAATGCCCTCCTTGCCCGGTCCGTGAGTTTTGGTGGGCTGCCGTCTCTTAGCAGATTTGCTGTTGTGCCATGTTCTTTCCATTTGGTTATGATAGATTTGATGGTGCTCCTGGTGATCATCAAAGCTTTGGATATTTTTTTATAACCTAACCTTGACTTGTACTTCTCAACAACATTGTCCCTTACTTGTTTGGAGAGTTGCTTGGTCTTCATGGCAGTGTTTGGTTAGTGGTGTCTCTTGCTTAGGTGTTGCAGCCTCTGGGGCCTTTCAAAAAAGGTGTGTATATGTAATGACAGATCATGTGAAACTTGGATTGCACACAGGTGGACATCATTTCACTAATTATGTGATTTCTGAAGGTAATTGGTTGCACCAGAGCTTTTTATGGGCTTCATAACAAAGGGGGTGAATACATACACATGTGCCAATTTTCTATTTCTAAAAATTAGTTTTATGTATATATTTTTCTCATTTCACTTCACCAACTTAGACTATTGTGTTCTGATCTATCACATAAAATTCAGATTAATAAAACATTGAACTTAAGGCTGTAATGTAAGAAAATAGGTAAAAAGTCAAGGGGGGGTGAATACGTTTGCAAGGCACTGTACATGGAATCCTGGAGTTGGGGTCTGGGTAGGGGAGGACACAGGTTTTCATTAGGGATTGGTTGTCCTGCTGCCTCCCCCACCTCATTGTCTTCCCCACTTTTTTCTCTTCTTCCTACTCTGCAATGGGAGACTCCACAGCTAAAACATCCTTTTATTTGAGAAGGGAGGGCTCCACGCCATTTTTTGAAACAGATAACCTACATATATAACTGCATGCCTGCTCTGGAGACAAACCTCCTCGCTAAAACATGATTTAACTGATGGCTGCTGGTTTCTACACAAATTTACATTGATCTTAATATATGTTTATGTTAACCTTTGTTTTAAAAGTCTTTGTCACTATACATGTGAATAAACAAACGTAGTCAGAGACCTGTATGCCTCTTATGCTTACTGTGGCGAAACGGACCTCGCCACTGGGCATTGGATTGCTAGCCTCCTGCCCTGCGACTATGGCCCTGGGATGTATTGCCCTTTAAGAACTGATTTGGACTTATGGACTTTTATTGTACAGTGCTGGCCCTTTTAAAAACAGTGTATGGACACATGGAAACTTTTTGGACACTTTTTCTTCCCCTTTGAATCCCTGGGAAGGTGAGGCTCTTCCCCTCCCCCAGCTCCATTGTTCCCCAGCAGGGAGTTGTCCCAGGGACACTGCCAGACCAGTGGGAACTGGTTTGGGAAGGAAAAGCCATGCTTGCAATTGATAATAAAGGGACCTCAACCTAACTTTTTAACCCCTGGACGGATTCATGTGATTTTTACATAAGTTGCTCCCCAAGTTATGCTGATCACAGAAATATAGTTTTATTCGTATGTGATGTAAGCTCACAAAGCTATAAAAATGTATAAAAAGTGTAACTTTTCAGCTTGGAGATAATTGAGTAGATACAGTCATTGACTCAATTATCTCCTAAGCAGAGGGGAGGAATATGATAGGTGTGTTTCTGTTGTCCCATTGTGTCTGATTGGCTGCTGTACTTGCATTGTATATGTTGTAATGTGTTTATTGGTTGTTCTGAAAAACCCTGTGGGTGGTCCTATGTAGGAAAAAACCTGCATAAAAGAAGGCCCTTTACCCCTTTGGTGCCAAGTAATACAGTTCTACTTCACCCTCAATTTGGAGTCCTGTCTCTTATTGGGGGAATCTGCTACAAGGGATTGCTATGCTCTGCATATTCCCTAGCTTTAATCATTCCTAAATTCTTGTAAGAGCTTGTTCCTGCTTCACTTTCAAGGAAGAGAGGTTCGGCCTGCAGTGGTTGTGGTGTCGGCTAGAGTGCTTGGGGTCCTCAAGAAGCGCTAGGAGCATCCTTCAACGGAGGTACCCAGTCAGGGTGCCAGGTGATCCGTTACACTTACTCTTTCTTTTGGAGACCTGTTAGTTATCTTATTTATCTATCTCATGTTGTGTTTCATTAAGAGCCTTCTCGAAGATTTATTCTTTGACCTTACCATAAAAAATAGAGAACTTTCTCTCAATTAAATAAAAACAAATTTGCAAAAAATAAATGTGTGAAAGGCCAAATTTGAATGGACTTATAGTCTTTGAGCAGCCTGTGTTACTAAGTAACTAAATCTGTTTCTTTTGGTCATCAAAGATCTGTCTACCTATCGATTACTATGACATAGCAAAATGTAATCTGATATAATCTGAAATAGATGTATTTGGTCACTAATCATTATTTATCCCTATCAAGATGCTTATTAGGCGCTTTATCAATATTACTTGATAGGCCCCCTATAAACTAATAATTCAGATCAATAAAATATTTAAATATCATTAAAGGACCACTATAGGCAACCAGACCACTTCAGCTCAATGAAGTGGTCTGGGTGCCAGGTCCATCTAGGGTTAACCCTGTCTGCTGTAAACATAGCAGTTTCAGAGAACATTAGGGTTAATCCAGCCTATAGTGGCTGTCTCATTGAAAGCTGCTAGAGGCGCTTCTCACTGTGATTTTCACAGGTTGAAGACGCCAGCGTCCATAGGAATGCATTGAGAATGCATTCCTATGGACTGACTGAATGCGCGTGCGGCTCTTGCCGCGCATGCGCATTCGGCGGAAGAGGGAGGAGAGTCAACAGCGCCGAGGGAGCCCAGCACTGGAGAAAGGTAAGTGATTTAACCCCTTCCTCCCCCTAGAGCCCAGCGAGAGGGGGGCCATAAGGGTGTGGGGGACCTATTAATACTATAGTGCCAGGAAAACGAGTTTGTTTTCCTGGCACTATAGTGACCCTTTAACCTTTCTTTTTGATTGTAGAACTGTTCTTCACACATCTGTCAAACATAAAGAACAAAATATAAAAACACATCTTCCCAATAGGTTTAATTTCTTAAAATATTGTTTGTAGTGTTGTGTTCTTAAATTCTTTATCAAACGAGAAGAACAAGGTGTCCCTGATCATTTATCTTCATGCATAAAGTGATAACAAGAGAGTCAGAGTGCAAAGAGGATCATTTAAAGTATTCTTGCTCTTTCCGTAGTCTGTTACTCCTTCAGCTATTTGTAAGTATTGCTTCTAAGCTTTCATTTAATTTCCTGCCCATATCCCTCTTTAATATGTTCATTTATCAAATACTACACACTTTATACAAACAGCATGCGCATTGTTACCTGCAGCAAGCATGAATCTTCTTATAATTAAACATTAAGGCGTTTATTTTTATATCTGGTTTGCGCTTTATGTGAAGTCGATATTTAGTATCTGGACTCTGTTGTCCTTGTGTCACTGTTAAAATGTTAAAAACTAATTTATATTTTGTGGTCTCCACATCAGTGATCCCGACTTTTGTATTTTTTTATATTGCAATTACCTGGAGACGTATTTATGTGAGTAAAATTGCTACCATTACACTTGTTAGGATAAAAAAACTTTTTGGTGTTTAATTTGTACTGTACAATTAAAAAAATGTCACTAGATCTGAAATAAGAACTCTTCATTTTTAACTCTTAGTCGGATTAACGGTTTCTATACAGCTATTAAAATATATAGGGAGACATATTTATGAAACTGATCAAACGCATGTTCTGATCATATCACTTCTAATAAACACTTTTACAATGTAGTTTAATTTAAAAGCTTCTTCTATACCTGAAATAAATTGGGGTTATTTACTGATTGAGTCTGTTTTAAAAGGTGTTCTTTTTTTAAAGGGATGCTGTAGGCAATATAACAGCTTTATCTCTTTGAAGTGGTTATAGTGAATGAAGTCTCTTGGCGCTGTCCTTCCATTCAGCATTAAGCTTGATTTAAAGCAACACTCCAGACCCCCAAATCACTTGCTGAAACGCTTTCTGTATGAAGAGTGCGTCCTCTTTTTTTCATTTTGCAAAAATGCAGATTTCAATAAAAATGGACACTTTTATAAATTTTTTTTTTTTTAATTCTTTATTTTTGAGTGCAGAGGTAAATATACGTTTCAGCAATATAACATGGCTTTAGAAAAAGATTGACAAAGTTCCGTATAGCATATTCATGGTGTGCTGCACTTTTTTTCTTTTTTTTTTAACAGGATTAATATCAAGATATAAAACAGGCTTGTCAACATTTTCTGTTGTATGTATTATAACAGGAGATAGTTTTCTTCCAAGCACATCTGAGAGGAGCGGTGGGTGTTAGGTGTCTCGAGAAGATAGGCTCTTCTGATATGATGTGTGAGAGGGTCGTATGAGGTTCTGTGTGGAGGTTTGCGGTGGCATCCCATGTGTATGCCTGTGGTATTCTGAGGGAGCTCCCCGGTGTGTGGGGTGTCATTTGCCTGGTGGCTGCGATATTAGGGTACGTGGCCAGGAGCTCTGCCAAGGCATCTGAGGGGAGATGTGTGACCTCCTCTTTATGTGTTGCCCCTAACCCAAGGGGTGGGGGGGGGGGGAGGTGTTGCAGTGTCAGTGTGCCTCAAGGGGTTTGTCTCTGCAGGTTCTAGCGCTCTGGTAGAGCAGTGGTCTGGAATGTGTGTAAGAGAGATAAAGAGAAATCAGAAAACCAAATATACAAATGCAACTTAAATCAAAACAGGTATAGCGACTTGTGTCGAATTTGTCCCAGAAGTTTCTATTCCGGTGCCGTGGCCATATGCATTGGCCCAGTCCCCATTAGTTGTCAGCCGTCCGTCGCCTGACACTTTTATTAATTAACTCCCAGCATTCAAGCAGACAACTGGTCCTGTTACTTCCTGGTTTGGTTAGCTCAGTGGAGCTAAACTCAAGAGGCGGCAAAAGCTCAGAGCATCTGCCTTGCAGAGACTTCTCATTGTGCTGCATTGGGAAGTCTGTGATTGGACAGCTACAGAAAGTCTGAGTGGGGTTAGAAGGGGAGGGCTTGCAAAGACAGCAGACAGGAGGACTGTAGGTTTTGTAAGCTGTTTTTAGATATACCACCTAATGCAGAAAAATGCATTATTAAATACACTCAAGTTTTCATTTGGGTATATTTTGTAAACAGTGATTTTTTTTTTTTATATATTGTATTTGAGCAGTGGAGTGTCCCTTTAATGTTTTGATGTTAAATGAAGTAGCCAGCAACTCATCCCCTCTGTGCTGCTTGGGCTAATGTGGAATTATTAGCTTGAGTAGCAATGGGCAGCTGTGATTAGCTTCAGTTTCAGTTGGCCACATTCAGCCTCTCCCAGTGCCCATTGCAGGTATGAAACAGTATGGCTACAAGGTAGTGTGTAATCTCTGCCTTACACATACCAACACTTGGGTGGTGGTGGGGGTAGAAGCAATAGGAAGCCTCTTATTTGGTGTTAAACTATATAGGACATGGTTTAACACTGAATGGCGGTAAAGTGCCAGGGAACATCAGGCACAACAACTTATTAATTGATATGATATTGTTACAGTCCTTCACCGTCTCCTTAAATAAGAAATTCTACTTGTTCTGTTAAATACTCCCACAAACCAAATAAATTGTAATAAATGATTGCGGGAAATGTATTCCACTACAAGCTGGATGATTGCTGTTAGATAAACTTACAAATAAAACACTGCTGTCTATTTTCCCAATTGACATTATAGCAAGGTAAGAACTCTGTATTAATACAAAGAATGTTGATTTATTTATCTGTTAATATCCAGAGGTAAATGCACCATCGCAATCCTTTGCAGCTCACTTGTGGGATGTTTAGGTTGAAGCTAAATGCAGCCACATTAACATCTCCTTTTGTCATATAAAAATGTTATTATTGCAGAATGACCTTTACATCCATATCTCAATTTGTCTTACTTCATATAAAATTTGGTTTTATAAAAGTATCACTGACCTTTTAAAATTAAATATATACATAAACCTAAGGCCTGTGGCTGAAAGATGTGACAGGATGAACCAAAAATGTGCACAAATTGGCTGTTTTAATATAAATATTATGTATATATTTTGCAGTAGTTTGATAAGTGTATTTTCCCACCATTTGGTTAATAGATCACGTGAAAAGAAGTAAGCAATAGAGTGGAAAAGAAGGATGGGGAAACCTAAAGCTTTGCTATGGGGATTTTGCAAAGTGTGGGGACATCCAGCATAATTTCATGAGGCAGCAATTGCTCAAATCACCTGTCTTGCAAAGACATTTCATTGAGCTGTATTGGGAAGTCTGTGATTGGACAGTCACAGAAAGTCTGGGCGGGGTTGGAAGGGGAGGGCTTGCAAGTCCTGCAAACAAGAAACTGCAGTTTTTGGAAGCTGTTTTTATATATACCCCCAATAAAAAAAAAAAAAAAACATAATTAAATGCATGCAAGTTTTTATTTGGTGTATATCTACTAAACAGTGATTTTTATTTATTTGTATTAGTGCAGTGGAGTGTCCCTTTAAACAAAATGACATAACTATTTGGGTGACACAATCTTCTAAAGTTCTCTTGTTCATAATCAGAAACACAGCTTTACATGTGGACTCTTTAACCATGTGGATCTACATGTGGATCTTTCTTTAAGCATGTGGATCTACTCGAGAAACCACATTTGTCTGCAAAGTAAGTGCATGCATTCATACATTTTAATATGTCATATACAGCTTTGTTATGAAGTACAAATAAAACCTACAACATGCTCAAAATAGAAAAGGCATTCCAATCCAGATCCACATTTTTCTTTTTTTCTTTCAGAGTTTTGTCTCCAAAGTAACTGTAGCGTAACAATCCATTTAGATTGAGGATTTTCTCATATATACACTTGATGCTGTTCAGCACATGGAGATTTGTCAAATGTAATCATATTGACTAGAATGAATCAAGCTACAAGACACTGCGGTGTATGAGATTTAAATTTATGAAACAATTATACTGCCACAATGTATTATTAACGTGCCAGTCTTATGTGTGCTCTAGCGCTATATGATTGCTGTTTAATTGCTGGTTTTGGTTAGCTTAAGCGGATTTCTATTAAATCACAATTTTGCAGCTTTCCATTAAAAAACGTTGGAGTGGATCTTTGGGAATCTGAAATATTCAATTTAACAAAAGGTAATCCAGTCACGTGTTGAACTAGTCATTGTGTTTGTAACGTCCTCTGCTGTTTGGTGGAATGTCCCGGGGCTTAGTGATGGAGGTGCGTGGTGAAAGCCATTTCAACTGTTTGCAGGCAATGATCTTCTTCAAAGCCAACATTTACCAATGATGAGAGTTCCTGAACACTTTACACAAGCATAATAAACTTTGGAATGTTTACAAGACTCTCTTCTTTGATAAGGTTTTTTTTTTATAGTTTAACAGATTAAAGGAACTGTATATGTAAAAAAAATGCATAGCCTTGTTTTTAGTTTGCAATCAAAAAATGTAATAGTGAACAGAATTTGAAACTTCACATGCCCATTATATTTCTAGTGCCTAAGCACTATTAAACCGTGTGTATTGGTAGAATTAAAATAGATGTATTAATCAGTCTGGGAGAATGATGAAAATTCTTGATCACAGAACTGAGGACCAGAGCAATATATTCAATGACCAGAAGATGTCACTATTTAGAAGCATGGATAAAGTCAATGTGAACCAAGACCTACCGAAGCAACACCCTAAATTATACAGAAAACTACATTTGTGTACATTCCTGTGTACACTACCAGTCTTCATA